AGATATTAATAAATACATGAATAGAGCACCTTAACATAGAATATAATATCAATATAAGAGTTTAAATGTATCGTAATAGTTTAAACAATGAGTTTTAGTTATAAATACAGTTTATAATATTAGCGATAAGAATATTTAACACTTTAAATATTTTAGAGGCAGTGGATTAGAGAAAACCAAAAACTAAAGAACTTTATTAAGGCAAAATAGTAGCCTTTAAATACATGTTTTTCCAATATAAATTAATAAAGTATATAAATAGAAATATATATTTGAAACATAAATCAAACTTAGCATAATCTTCCAGAAGAGACTTATAAAACTTAATAATATGTGAAACATAATAATGTTTTGAAATGTAAATAATAATAAAGATAAAAATAGAATAAAACCAATAATATATAAGTGAAACCTTAGCTGTTTCAGCCTTGTTTCTAAAATAAGTATAATTATAAATAATAAATAAAACTAATGTAACTCTTATATGTTTTGTATGAGATTAACTTTTATAACTTGTTATACAAAGGTACTGGATTTAGAATCGAGTACTTTAGGTCCCATATGACCTAGGGTTAGGGCATGAGTTAGCAGTTTGTTACATACGAGTATTCTCAAGTATCTTAATAGATTCGATAAAGAATTTAATTGGTTTGTCAAACCAGGCTAGTCTGACAAACTAATCAGATTCTTTATCGAATCTATTGAGAGGCTTAAACTAAGTGTTATACTAAATAATATACCTGTTGTTTGTAGTTCTAAATATTCAAATATTGATTTAAGTTCATCATCTTCAATTATTTAAAATAGTCAATTACATTTAACAATCTAGTGCTTAAAAAGATTATTAAATTTATTTTTATCAAAAGGTTCATAGGAATTGTTATTAGCCTAATACAGTAAATACAATTATGCCTTAAATAATGAGAGTATTTCTTCCTGAACTATATATCAAAAAGCTTACACTTTTTTTATAATATAATATATTAATAACAGAAATGCTATCCTTTTTTATATTCAATATCTTTAATTCGAAAATTTTGTTTCTATATACATTAAGATACTTTTTAAGATTTGATATTGTTCTGTTTTGGTATATTAATTTTCTATTACAGAAGCTATATATCGCATGGCCTTGTTCTTTTTTAAAATATTTCCATACAAAAGATCTATAATATAATATAACTAGTCAGTAAAATATATTAAACAATAATATAATAATTTAATTTAATAATTTTAATTTAAAATATATCAAGTATTCTTAAAAAAAATCTTTTAAATCTTATTTTAAAATTGTATATAAGTGCTATCAAATTAAAGTGTAGAACTAGATATATAAATATAAAACTTATATATCCAGTTCTAGACTTTAATTTGGTAGTGCTCATAACTATAGCTCAATTCTATATTTAATTCAATTTGTCAAAGTTTAATATTGATACAAATATCAAGTTGGTCTTAAAGCATATAATTTAAATTTGTCATATAATAATAAGGCTATACAAAATAATTTTTTTAGTTTTCATAACTTAAAATTTTCAAACAAACCTAGCAACCTAGCTTTTATTTCAAAATTTATATATAAAATCATATAAAAATTTTTTTAATTTTTTAAAAAAACCTACTCGGTTATTACAACATATAAAAAAAAATTTCAAAAATTGAAAATTTTGATCCAACCAGATTATGTAAACCAAGAAATTTTTTTTATATAGCCTAATAGTATAATAGTATATTAAGTTTTGCATTACAATATATTTTAAAATTATAATTTTTATCTAGTATATACAGATTTGCTACTACTAACTTTTGTTTGAAATAATTCACTAGTTTCAGATTTGAGAAATATTAGTTCATTGTTATCAAGTTCTTCAGAGAGAAGCAGTTGTTTGTCTTCAGGTTTCTCACTTGGAAGTGTTGGTTCTTCTTCTTCAAGTTCCTCATAAGAAGATATAGACAAGATTAATAAAGTCAACATTGTGAATATTAGATTTGTAAAAGATAGTAATAACATTTTTTTTTTGATTGAAATTAACCAATCAGAATATATTATTTGCAACCAATCATATTAGAATAGATCTACTAGGTATTTCGAATCAGTTCTCTATGTGGATCCAGATTTGGCAAATCTTAAAAATCATGAATCTGATTTGAATCCTCAGATCGAATCTGCAGAACACTATTTTTGAATTTCATACACATGAATTTTTGGCCTGCATTATGCCAATGCAGGCAGAGTTTCAGATATCTACTCAGGTCAATTGGGTAACCCAGGTGATGTTTTTTTTAACGAGTCAATTCACTAATCCCAAAGTTTATTTTTAGTTTCAAAAGTATATTAGAAAGTTAATTCTAAAATTAATCTTTTATAATCTTATATTCAGAGAAGTTAGCTTAGATATGATATTCTGAAAAAGGTGAAGGAACAAAACTTCGTTTGAATTTCAACATGCATCAAAACAAAAATAACTATTAATAAAAATAGCAAACTATTTTTTTTTTTTAAAAAGTTTGAGATTTCGAGTTAGGTAGTTTATATTTATTAATATGTTCTTAATTGGTTTGGTTTGTTAAAGTATATTTGGATTTATTGATTATAGATACAATTTTGGATTTACAAATAGTAGGTTTAGTAATTCAGATTTGTTTTAGTAGTAAATACTACTTTTCATACTATCTATCTAATATATGTATATAATCCAATATAATCTATATGTGTAAGAATATATCTTTTTAAACTTGTTTCTAACCTACAATAAATATATAGATAATGCATTTCCTATATATTTAATTAAAGACCTAAAGTAATTTAAAAAGCTAAGTATTCGAATTGTGATTGGCTAATTATTAAATCAGCTCATACATATCTGATATCGATATAAAAAAACTGTAATAAAACTTTATAAAGTAGTATTTGCATTGAATTTTGCTATAATAAATACTGTACTATAGTAGTTAAGATGAATTACCAATTAATGTTCTCTTTGTTAGCATAAAAATTTATCGAGGTTAATAGTATATTAATTAGATTCACTTTGAAAGTTATATTTAGGTTGAATAGTAAAATAAAGATTTGGATTTCACTTAATAGCACAAAAGGTATTTATTATAATCAATTCAAAGTAATTTAAAATATTAATTTGTGCAAAATAAGAAAATTATTCAAATTAAAAGTTGAAGGTAATTTATATTCTATTCTATTGTCTGCTTTAAATATTGAAAGCAAATGAAGTATATTAACTATTAATTATCATATATCTTTTTATCAGTCAGCTACCAAAGTTTTTTTGAAAAAATTTATAGTTTGTTTCTTTAAATTTAGCTATTAAATAAATAGTAAATGAAAGTTTATAAAATTCTGTTAGTTAAATATAAAGAATAAATGATATTTTTTTTTATAATCAAATTTTGAAGTCTACTTTGAACTAATTTGTGTAATTTAAAATTATAAAAAGTTAGATGTTATGAAATATCACACTATGTATACATATAATTTGAGTACATAAGAGTGAAAACTAAAAGTAAATTATTATAGCAAATTTGACTCCTAAGAACAATTAGTGTTCTAGCAGTTTTGGTAACACAATATAATAAGATATATCTTTGTATCTAATGCTTATTTTATATTATTTTGTATTCTTAATTTACATCACAACTATATTAATTCATTCATTCTTTTTTTTATTTTGTTTTGTTGTGTCTCTTTTGTATAGGCCCTTTTCTGATTTTTAACCTTTTCAATTAAGTTATTGCTTAGTTTTGAGCAAAATTTGTTATAGAAAATAATAGAATAATATAGACGAATATTGTTCTAAAAGTCAACTTGTTTTTCTTCAGAAAGACATTTTGGTACAAGCTCTTGAGGATTTAGACTTCTAATATTAGCATTTGGTTTTAATAATTGGAATTCATCCTATAGATCAGTAGTTTTAATCTTAGCTTTTATTATACTGAGATTTTCATTGCTAAACTAAAAAAAATAGTATTTTTAAATTACTAGAGGTTTATAGTATAATAAGCTAAGTGCAGAAGTCTAATCACAGAATAGTCCTATTTGATCTTCTAAGCTTACAGAAAAATTATTACTTGCACTCCTATTTATTATTTTAACTAACTGATCAATATACCAAACCTCTGATCTGACATATTCTCTTTTAGTATTACCAAATCCTCGGTCAACAAAATTTTGAGTATGCCCTTTAATTTGGAAATGATATTTGATTTTTTGAAATATTTGAGTATGATAGGCCCATAGAAAATACTATAGAAGACACGAGTTTTTATTTTGTCTATCACAATTATTTACTTATAATCTAATTTTATTTACTTTACTCACAACAGAAGTTAAAAATAGATGCACCATAGATGTAACTTTGTTGGCCTCTTTTGCTGCTTTTGCTTCTGTATAAAGAAAATACCAATAATAGTTAATACCTTCTTCTACTAATCCAAATTGATGCACTTTTAACAATAACAAATAAGGTTTGGCGATCTTAGTATAGTGGTTAGATTGTCAGACTGCTATGCAAAAGGTCTAAGATTCAAATCTTACTGTTAACAGAATTGAATAATTATCTAGATATCTGTATTCAACTTATGGTAAACTCTACTCGTTTTTGGAGTTATAACTCTGTAAATCATGTTGTACCAATGCCAATCAGGTATTGGAAGTATGATAAGGTATTTGGAAGGATATAATGTTATATAAATAAATCTTGATAGGATCTATAAGCAGAGGACCTGCATAGTAGAAATCCCAAGTTAGGTGAAGTAATACAGATTTCAATAGTCATACTAGTTAATGCTTAATACGAGAAAGAAAATCTGTGTATGAACAGATCGGTAACTAGAATATGAGTAAGTTTGTTAGAAACTCTGAATATAAAAAGATCAGTTGAATAGGTGCACATAAGTCTGTTATATAAGGTTGTATAGCAATATCAACCTGGCTTGACAGCTAACTAGATTTGAGCGGATCTGTTCTGTATGATATCTGGAGGCACAAACAACTTTCAGCAGTACTAGTCTGAGTAGCAACCAGATCTGGAAGGGCCTATCTCATGTGATATTTGCAGACACAGACGACTGACTCAATAGAGAGCCACAGTAGGAACTGGGTTTGTATGAATATCGAACAAGAGTATATGCAAGCTAAATTGGGATATAGCATAGCATATTTGAGTACTATAGTACCTATTGATTAGGAAGTTGGTAAAGGAGTACCTGAGATGGGCCTAGACTTCAAATCATAAAGTTTGTAGATTTATATTAGCTTTGTTGATGTTTTCTAAAATAGAAGTAGTACAGAGCTAGGTAAATTTAGGTAATAAATAATAGTGGGATAGGAATGTTATATAGCCAGAGAGTTTAAATAGGAAATTTTCAAATAAATTTCAGGTATAGCAGCTAGTGTAAAACCTTTAGGCGGACTACTTAAATTAGACAATCTAAAGTTATATATATGGCTAGTTGTATTCTCATATATGTAATCATTGCTCAAAACTATCTATACTAATAAAAATTTCACCAATAGCATATTTATCAAAAAAAAAAAAAAAAAAAAAACAATGACGAATAATACTACTTTCCTAGTTGTTGAGAGTCATGAGGTATCTTAACATTTTGAATAAAGTCAAAAGACAAAATACGAAATACAGATCAATTAGACTCTTTTGCCATTTGAATATCATTTTTATATAATTTCCTCATAGCATGATAATCATATATATACATAGCAAATTGGTCATCAAGAGTTTTATTTACATTACTGCTTTCTTTTAATACATGTTTAAACAAGGTACATTTATCACATATATCTTTAAATAGTTTTCTAGTAACAATTTTACTTAACTTTAGATCATCTTTTCATATTTTTCAAAAGCTCTAGCTATTTACAAGATTATTTGAATAAATTAAGATATAGAAAACTAAAAGCTGATTATAGGAATAGTAAGATAGAAGAAGGACAAGATCATACTTTTCATATTGTACTGTTATTTGTCTATCTGTCTTTTTTCATGTATATTTTTGAACAGCTAGTGCCTTACTGTATTAATTACTAGTTAATCTAATAAACAATTTTATTTTATTAACTGTTTCAACATGTAATTTAATAACAGATGAACAGCTAGCATTTCCATAAAATAGGGGAAGCATAGATTTTTTTTTAAATCTATCCATGAAGGTAATAGAAAGTATCTTTACCACATAGCCAAAATGTTTAAAAAAAAAACTACAAATTTTACTGAAGTATAGTAGCTAATACTTGGTATTAAAAGATCTTTTGTATGGCCTTTTATCAGATAAAGACATAAGTATTATTATTGTATAATATTGTTGCTCTTTGCTCATCTTGATATTTTTAATACTAAAGATTGTAACAGGTCTGACAAAATTTTTTTATTACATTTCTTTTTATATGAGCAACATGACTTAAGCTTGTTAACCAAGTTATCTCAATGTTTTTCAATAACTTCTTTAGATTCTTCATCCACAGTTTCTTTACTATTTGAATCTGATTTTAATACAAATTAAAAATTTGATATTTTCTTATCATCATATTCTATTTCATTATCATTATTATTATCATATTCTGTTCTCTCTTTATCATACTCTATTTTATGAGAAATCAGAGTAAGAGCAGTAGAAGTTTCAAAAAAATGATTCAAATCTTCTAGGATTTCTATTAATAATTAAAAAAGTTAAACAATAAAAAAAAAAATTAATCGATAATTATTTAACAATTTAGGCAATATAGATTTTAGAAAATTATAGTTGCAATATAAAAATTCTTTTATGTAAGTATATAATTTAGAATTCTTCTTTTATATATCTATTTTTACATACAATTACCACTATTTTTACTAATTTATTTTACTATATTTTTGATTAATTTACACATAAAATTCTATATAAATAATTGAAGGGTATTCTCAAGTATCTCTATCAATAAACTATATAAAGAGTCTTAGTCATATA